TTTGAGAACACGTTAAAGAATGCCAAGTTCAACTACTTAGTAGTTGATATTTGAATTATAAAACAATGTAATTTTTTTTATAGGTCTTTCAGTTGATATAACATTGATAAATGCTGTTTTTTGATTTACAACTTTGTCATGTATTAATTGGGGTTTTACTTCAGACTTTGGCTCTCTGTAAGCAAAAATAAGTCGACATCACTTCTTGTTAGATGTATTAAGGCTGGAGGTATTCCACCTGGGGTAAAGCCCATTGCTTGTCTATCCTTCTCTGTCATAAACTATTACACTAGAATATTGTATGCAAGAATAAACAATTCGACATTTCTGTGTCTGTCTATCCATTTTATATACCAGCTGATCAGACTTCAGTGATATCCGCGACGAAACAGTAAATTTTGTCTCTCCGCGATTCGAACCCAAGCCATTTTATTTATCAGTAACGAAATAACTACATTTTCAGAGTTTTTTTTTAACTATAATCTGTGGGTAGGTCTATTTTAGATTGAAAAATTTAACGTCACGAGCGGGACTTGAACCGGCATCCAAAAAAAATTTGCTGCTATTCTAACTCGTATAGTCTTAACTGGTCTATGAAATGCCATCATGTGCAGTGAAAATAAATAAAATGTGAAAATAAAAAGTTTTCAAATGTTGTTGAAACAAGATTAACTAACAAAGTGTTAATTGTATTGACATCTTCTGAGATTTCTTGCACCATATTACAAAAAAATACTTACATGACATCTAAAAAATCTTTTGAATCCTTTGATAGTATATTTAGGCATCACTATAATATTCTTCTAAGCGTTTTTTAAAGCAGGCTTGTTAATTTTAGATATAAACAAAACAACATAAGTTTAAAATAGGAACGCAGTTAAAATAACTAATTAAATCATCGTTCAGTTAAAAATTTTTATTTAATTAAACACTTATTCTCTCGGTATGTTATTAACATATAGTACTTGAATATACACTGATTATATTTAGAAGGACCGGGAGAGGATAAAACAATTTTCCTCAACAAGACATTATTAGGCCTTATCACAAACATTTAAGTATTATTAATAGTAAAGCAATTAGTGAGTAAAGAGCATATTTTTTTTATTTCTTTATTATTTTTTTGCTTTACTACTTATAATACATACAGCATAAAAAACATATGAAAGAGGAAAAATCTTACCTACTAACTTATAAAAGGCGGCCTTATCGCTAAGTAGCGATCTCTTCCAGGCGACCCGACTTACAGGACAAAATTAATAGAAAAAGACTTGGAAGTGTTAAATAAATACAAAAATCTGATACACTCTATTCATAATGTAAAAGATTATGTTTTACATAGTTATGTTTAGTCTCCTTAGTATCAAAATAACATTCAAATTCTATTTACACGAACGTTGTAGAAATTGCTTATTTGAAATATTCTTTGCGAAATATTGAAAAATATATGACACAAGCAGGGCACGAACCCGCAACATACGGCGTACCGTACCGTAGCTCTGCTGTGTAATAACTTCAAAAAAAATATTAATAAACATCTACTAAGTATTACCAAATTGATGTCGATTCGGAGTTAACATAAATTAAAAGTTAACTAATATATTTCGCGTATTAAACGGTTCAAAGTGTGTTCTTTTAACACAAGTATTGCTCTTGCGTTCACCTACGTCGTATTCGTCACCCACGCTGACCTATCTCACGTTTCAAGTCGACCTTAGCGTCTTAGTTTAAATGACATTTGATCTTAACGTACGCCCATTAACACTGATATAATTCATTGATGGCCACTACTGTAATACTGCTATAGTTGTACTGTCGCTATATTTTTTCTTATAGGACAGACAAGCATGAGCGAAATACCCCAGCCATATAATATCTACAAGATGCATTGCCGACCTATTTTGGCTTTGCATATTGGGATATCGAAAATTCACAGACTGAAACCGAAACGCTATTAAACTCGCCGGCCTTTTCATCTGTGGAGGGTGGTCCGTGATCCCGTGACAAAGGTGCCTAACACGGAATTTTGAGGCAGAACGGGATTTAAAGGGGGGGTAAAATGAATTAATACTGTCTATAGTTTACGCGAGTAGTACACATTTAAATAAAACACTTTAATGGTTTAAAACGCGATATATTAGTTAAACTTATTTGAAAATGATTTTTAACTTCGGCCCGACGTTTCGGATGCTTTGCAGCAGCCGTGGTCACGGGGAGACTAAATATGGAGGATGTCTCTGACGTCAAAGTTTTTACTTTGACGTCAGTTAAGTTTAACTAATATATCGCGTTTTAAACAGTTAAAGTGTTTTATTTAAAAATGAATTAATTCCAATTTAACTAGTAACTAACATACTAATAACTAAATACTAAAACTAATTACACAACTCACTATTTCTTATTATTGTATTATTATCTTTACAAACACTAAAAACCATGTAACTAAAACACCAGGACAAAACCTAGAACCCGTTTTTAACGATCACACCTACCCAACATCATTTCCCCTTTAAGTAAAGAAAAACATATGAGTACTTATTGAAATGCCCTTTTGTTAGCCAAAAGATATCGCTGTTTAATTTTACAATGTCAAACTCATAAACCACGGATTAATCAAATAAAGTACAAAAAACGCTAATCATCTTTTCGCCTATAATCGCACATCATCGTAAATATCGAAAGCGTCAATCGTAAATGTCGAATCATTATCTTAATCGGAGGTGTGCGTGCGCAGGTGTCGTCTCAGTATTTCACACCATACCTATCCACTCGACCGACATTGTCCACTTTCCATTTTTAACGAGGCTCCGAAAAAATTGTCAGTTGCGCTTTTTACAAATAATCGTACGCGTAGATGATTTATTGTAACTTCACACATTAATAATTGTAATAATAATGATTAAATCAGTTTAAAGTGCAACAATAATGACTCAAGAGGACGTGTTCAACGAAGAGAATTCACACACACTCAAAACTCAATATTGTGCATAGTTCCCCTGTGGCTGGGACGAACAATTTCTGTGTCCGTTTCACTGATCGGTTTTATTTACAGGCAAGTACTTACTCAGACTTCTGTGCCCTGCCTGACCAAAAAAAATTACTGTTTCCCCGGGATTCGAACCCAGGACCTCTCGCGCTTAGCGCTAGGCACACGCGAGCACGAGGCGGTCATAGTGTATACTTGATTTAAAATCATACTAATTGACATACATTAACATAACCCTTACCATAATATGAGTTTTATTGGCGTTATCAAAAACCCCTATTGTATGTATGTTTGTTACTGTTTTACATCCAAACAGTTAAGCCCTTCGACCAAAAAACAAAAAAGATTCCCGGAGAACAGACCAAAAAGATAAACAATGAATGCTCGTTTTTCTGAAGATAAAAGTATCATTAGCGCGAAGTTACATAATTTCAACTATGTTCTAATAAAACTATTATTAAGTGGGAAACAGAAGGCTAACTGAAGCCATTATAATTGCTACACCCAAATACAACTTCAAAACACAAACGTGACTCCATAAGGCGTTTCCAAAACATTTGACGCACTCCAAACTACCACTAATGGTGTCTGCAACATAACAATTTTGCACGCATGACGCGCACTTATAACAAGTAGTTACTAGTTCAATTGCAATCTTTCATTTTTCACCCCCGTTTCAAACCCCCTCTAATTAGTCTGAAAATATCCGGATCTGTCGTCTGCTACCGAGTGCATGGGCTTTTTATGAGAAACTTTTCAAAGTAGGGTGTGGAAATGGAAAATATTCTATAAACCCGTTATTTTTAGTTATCTATCATTGTATTATAAGGCTGAAGAGTTGGTTTGTTTAAATGCGCTAATGTCAGGAAATAACGGTTCGAATTAAAAAAAATTTTCGTATTGTTTGGAAAATTTATCGAGAAAGGCTATAAAACATCACGCTGCGATCAATAGGAGCGAAGATAGTGGGAAATGTGGAAAAATATATATATCTTTTAGTGTATCCATTACGTGCGCTGCGAAAACGGTTCAAGATACCCAAAAGTATTTATAATTAACAATTTTAAAATAAACCAAAAAAAATGTTTTTTTGGTAAAAAAATTTTGTCCAAATTACTTCATATGGCTTCAATAAAGTTTGCCAAGTCAGCGTTAATATTTAGTAATAGCACAACTAAAATGTGCCTTATATGAAAAATAACGTACACTAAGACCGATTTAAACAACACAACAAGACAAAATTAATCCAAATGGAAATCTAGTCGCTTAGACGTTGCGGTGGAATATATTTACATACATAGACAGTCACAATAATTTATTTACGTTTAACCGTAGACAAAAACAATTAACATGCTGAATACGGTTACTAAGTAATATTTCTTGCAGATTACTCAATTTCAAATACAGTTATAACTGTTCTGTGAAAGCGTCACGTGAATCGAACCTGTGACCCGACACACGACACCCGGCCTCGAATTACGCGACCGCTGGGACATACGAGACGTTCCGGACTATAAGTGCAAAAGCAATCGGTGATACGTTGTTGAATTAACATTTCTGAGGAATTTTAAACTTCAATAACAAGTTGAGGTTTTTTTTTCTTATTTATTAAGTGCTACTCCGTCTTCGTAAATCCGTTATAAAATCATTTATTATTTTTAAATAATTTATACAAAAATATTAGGAACATTTTTTTAATATTTAAAAATAACATAAAACTAATAGTTTTTTGATGTATTCATACTTTAATTTAAAAAATTTTTTATAAAAAACAGGATGCGGCAATAGAGAAGAAGGTATTGAAAATATGGAATTAATGGGTTTCTAATTTCGAAAATAAATAATATTTGAAAAATTAGAAATATTGTTTATGAAACCATTTAAGCTAACATCTTAACCGATCGTCTCCATAGCGGTCTATCATTAGAACTTTAAAATTAGAACGATGAATTTCTTCATCTACCTCCTTTTAATTTCGCGTAGAAGAAACTAAGAATATTCATGTGAAACTCACGTGTAGGCAAGGGCACATGGGCCACTTGCGTCGCAAGGCGTGCGGCATCTTCTTGCGCGGAGGGTCGGGCTCCGCTGGTGGGTCGCCGCACGCCCAGCGCACCAGCCGAGCGCGCGCAGCCTCCGCCGCCTCCAGACCGCGCGACCACGACGGGAGACCCTGGAAACAAAAAGGGTTTTTCAGATATCACCGTGATAGAATATGAACTCATTTTTTTTTTAATAGAGAAGGACAGGCAAGCATGTTTTTCACTTGATGGCAGGTAAAATATCCCAGCCATATAACATATACACAAGAAAATAGATGTTTGAGAATTTATGCTTACAACGCACGGTTCCTTTAATCTCTGTCTCACATCCTTTCCTATTTACTTAGTCTTTATTGTTACAGCTGTGAATTAAACTCAAGTAGGTAACTAATTGTTTTAATTTACTAACCAGTCTGTTCAATATATTAAATCCCAAAATTCAGTGTTTATTGTTTAGTTAGCTTAAATAGTATTTAAATAAAAAAAATTGTATTAAAAGGCGAAATATTTTTCGAGTTTCTGTGTTAGCTGCCGCGAAGCACTAAGCACGAAGAGGCGTCAGGCCGTATTTAAAATAAATTGTAAATTAGTTAACTAATCTATTTCACGTTTTAAAGTGTTGAGTGTTTATGATAATAAAAGAAAAAAAGGACCTAAACGCAGAGAACTGTAGTGAAATGTTAATCAACTATTTCAAATATAACAATTACATCGCTACCGATCTTGATAAGGAGCTGTGAAAAATAACTCTTAGCAATCACAGAGATGAGGTTGCTGATTAATATTTGCTCCCATTGTATAATGAGCCATTGTATTCAAAAACTAATAATAACACGAGTATTGCAGGAATAATAGCGAAATTTAATCTTACCAAACGATGTCTTTTATATAAAAAATAAAATAATTTTAACGGCTAAACTGGAAACGGCTGGACCAGTTTCGCCAAATACTAACACGGAACAGTTGGCGCCAGCGTAGCAGTTTTTACTTTGACACTAGAGACACACTCTATCTTTAATCTCCTCGTATTCACGGCCGCTGCAAAGATTTAACCGGCAGTTTTGAAAGGCCAAGCCAGTAGACTACTGCCTTACATATAGGAATTTATATGTATTACGTAGCTTTTAAAACATATAAATATTTTAAATAATGATAATAACATAAAGGAGAAAACAAGCTATCCAAGTGTTTGTTTTCTTTATTTTTAATCAATTTTATTGTCTAGACGAGATTAGATTTGACCAGCATAAATTTGAAAATCCTATAAGAATCATATTGCGGTCTGAATAAAATCCATTTTATCACGCAACGCCTAACAAAGATCAAGGTTAGAGCATAATTACTGAAACGATCTGCGATTTTTTGTGCAATCTGCATGTTAACGACCTCTAGAAGGCATTTGACACAGTAGTCGATTTGTCACGGATTGAATTTCGTGTCTTCCTCTTTAAATTGAATGAATTATGAAAGATGCACAAAAAAGTGATATTTTCAATACACCCGTTTCAAATTAAAACTGAAAATTACAAGTTTGTCGAGGCGAATGAACTTCACCTAACCGTTTTCAAAAACCACGTAGACATAATTATTATTAACGAAAACAAATATACAGTTAATTTTATACTAACTTTGATACACAACAATGCAAAACATTTTCTGGGTTCCGTACTCAAAGTACAGGAAACCCTTTTTAAATAAACTCTCTAACGGTTCAAAGCGCGATATATATAAGTTAAACTTATTTGGAAATAATTTTCACTACGGTCATGTCTTAAATATCTTGTATTGTTAAAAGTGAAATGATTAGCTAATAGACGACGAAAACAAGTATTTTTCGATCGACTTTCTGTAGTGACGCAATAACTGGGTGTGTTACATTTAGTTCATTAGAATTATAAGATCTACAGAATTTGACAGGCTCGTTGGAGTAATGGTAGCTATGTATGTAGGTAGTGGGTTCGGTCCCCATGGGGGCCAACATTTTTCTAATCAATATATAATTTTTCAGCATAGTCCAAATAGTATATCTCCAAGTATTGTACAAATAGTATATCTTCTATTTTTGTAAATACAATATTTATTTATTAACAATGCAAAGGTTTTTAATTTCGACTTAATTTTTATTTGTGGTGCGAATTTAATTTGTGGAGTTTAGACTTTTAAAAAATATTTAAAAATAGATTATGAAACGGTCATAGAAATGTGTAGGCCCCCTTATCCGAATAGTATAAAGTACAAAACTTATTTATTATGGCAAACTTAGACATTTTTATTCTATCACTCTCTTACACTTACGTAACAAGGACTTAGTTTGTATGTCATAGGCAAGATTATTTCTATAACAATACAGTAGTTTTTCAAAAGTCACGTCACACGCTTGAATGAACAAAAAGTAGATATGTCCATCTCCTGGATTTAACCTAGGTAAAATAAATCAACATTAATTTCAGCAAAATCTGTTTAGCCGTTCTTTAATTATAAAAAGGGTTACAAAACGTCTTTCTTTCATATAAGATTCACAGTATAGATACATAAAGGTATATCCGTACTGTGTGTTTTAGTGCGTTAGTTAGTGAAGTACACGATCGTGAAGCCCGTGCCCTTGCGCAGGCCCACTTAAGAAATGTACTAGAGCGTTACCATTGCAATCGCATAAATTACCATAGTTTTAAAATCATTTATTCCGCCCCAAATTGCCCTCGTACGTCATCAGAATTTCAAGAACCAATTTCATAAGGCACCATTGTTCGCTTGAACTTTGCGTCGGCATTTAGTGAACTATTGCATTTTAGATCGGAACCGACGATAGGATATCTCTGGTTCCACCTGTTTACCTTAAACGCGTGGAAACAAGCTAACAGCTGTATATCAGTGTTGGCATAATTAATTGGTTTAATCACTCGGGAGGTGGTAATTAAGATTTGAGTCAGCAAGAGACGCAATTGAACTTGCAGCAGCATTTTACCAAGATTATTTAGATTTTTAAAGATTTAGACTAAAATTTCAATTAAACACGTTTAAATTAAAACGCGAAATATGTTACTTAAACTTATATACAAATGTAACTACTACCCAACGTTTCAAAGTGTTTAATCTTGTACTACTGACGTAAAATACAGACAGAGCTTAATGGTATATCCTACTTCAACAAATTTTGGTAAAATTGCAAAAGGTACCAAGGTATATAAGGTATACACTATGTTATGAATAAAACAGTTTTGTCTGTCAAATTTAGTTTTATCTCGTTAGATTGAATTTACGATAACAATACTAATAGCGTCTAAGGAAATTTTACATCAATTAAAAACCTTAATTTGTATTTATACTCTTACATAATTTGTTAAATTTAGAGAAAAATATGATTCTAAAATTGTCCTCCCAAATATTACTTTATACACAATATGAATGTAACACTTCCATTGTCTTTCCTCGAACGCTGTCCATACAATAGTGTACAGCGAAAGTACAAAACACAGAGAACAAGATAAGTATAGAATCCGACAATGATCCGAGCGATGCTACTTTCGTTGACCGTGACCATTGACCAAGAGTCGAAGATATTTTGTGTCAGGAGGCCTTTATCGCGACAAATGTAAGATAAAAAATCTTTAGTATTCCTGAGTAATAATCTAGAAAATTATGATTATCGCGCCTGAACCTTAGAGTTTAACACAGTTCCTAGGTTATTTTAAGATTAAGATTTAAAAAAAGGCAAAACCCTAATCGACTGTCAGTCATCCTTTTCAAATAATTAAAAACTATGAACAAATATTAAATAAATATTTTATTCAAGTAAGTAGGATAAATTCAACAGTTAAGTTTCTTTAGTTTAATTGAATTGTATATAAACTTGAACTTTAATAATATCTATAAATATAATTCGTTATTATAGGAATCATCATTTCTCAATAGGGTAAGTTATCATTTCTATAGGTAACGCGTTAACCTTTGAAATAAGTAGAGTAGCTTCTAGGAAGTTGTATGTTGTTAGACTTGAAGATGAAATCCGATTTCCTCGTATCGCGTAAAATATCAATCACGGAACAATCTTTCACTATACTTTCGAGTGGTATAGTATGTTAGGAGGTTACCATTGCCATGAGTATCACGTACAGACAGACCATGAGGTGCAGTGAAAGTGAATGACCGTGATTATGTAGATGGCAAACGTTTAGAACGCATTAACAAGTATTGTGGGAAGAATTTGTTAGGGTTCTCATGGGGAGTCATATTTGACCTCCGCTTTATCATCTTTACCTTTTTGTTGAAATGTTCTTGTATTTTACGAATTCGATAAATACGATATTTTACGTAAATTTAACCAAAAAAATCAATGATTTATTTAAGACGAGGATGAGTTTCACTTGATGGAAGGTTATTCACTTTCCATTAAATTAATCCCAGCCATCCATTGAGGATCAAACCCTTTGATTATTAGCCATACTTGGCTACCATTAACAACCTGTCAAATCCTTTAAATATGCAGGTATCGCTAAAAGTTTACGCGTAACACTTCTAGCAGTCATTAGTATATTCGTATCAAATTAATAGCAAACGAATGCAAATTCAACTCTAAGTAAAATTTAATTACGCTGATTGTCTCCTTGACACCTTTGACACCGTCATCGTCTTTCAAAAAGCGATTATCCGGCACATGTAATTTATCAGCGAGAACCTACATCTTTGGTATTATGTCAGAAATGGTTATTAATAGTCTTAAGTAAAGGCTTACTTTATTAAGGATTGTATCTTTTTCTCATATTATGATATTATATTATATATATATATACTAATCAATGTGTCGTGTCGTTTAATGATCTTTTAAATTATGTAAGTAAAAATAGAAAACAAATTGAATAAATGCTTTGAATTCAGCGCAGGTAAAGTGAATTGTTGTATAATGTTTTTAATTGATTGCTTCCATTCGATCACATATTTATTATGTAACGGAAAAGTTACTACAAGTTATTGGAATCATATATTTGGCCCTTAGAAATCATTACTACCGAATAGAATAAATTAGCTGTGGCCGCGTCCCGTCATTCTTGCAAATTAATATTAAAAGATAGACATAAACAGTCGGACATTTTTTTATATTGGTGAAAGAGGAATCATTCTTTGCTCATTATTT